TTCTTGTCCCAAGCTCATTCAGACTGGAATATTCTTTCTTCAGGTCCTTCATTGGCCACCCCATCTAAAGACATCCTCCACTCCACTCCTACCTTAGAACTCTATACCATCACTCGATGTTATTTTTCCAAATACTTACCATCAGTTGAAATCCTATTTGTTCGTTCATTTTCTGCCCTTCCCTTGTCCCTGGCAAATACTTATCCTACAAAGGCAGGAACCTTTTCTTATTCTCTACTATATCTCTAGTGTTAGAACTGCATTTGGCACATTGTAGACACTCAAATATTTGTTGTCTAAGCTAAAAAATAAATGAATGGATGTATGCTTCATGATACCCACATGGAGGGAAATGACTTTGGATTTTCAGTCAATATCAGGTTAGGAACCTGGACACTTACCAGTTTTGAGAACACACACCTTTACTCATGTCACCTAGTACATTTTCCAGTCTCCCTCAAACAGAAAATCACATGGCCCCAAACCAGACGTAACTTATGCTAACAGCTTTTGATCACCACTTTAACAAATGTGGCAAAATGAAGCTTTAGGTAGAGGTGTGTAGCTTGAACATCTTCATATGGATGTTCATCTATCCAACTGTATTCTACTGAGTACTAAAGGAGCTTAATGTTTGTCCCTTAAAAAACATTAAAGGTTTTCAATTAATGGTCAAAGACATCTGAGCCAAATCCTCTACCTTACCACCCCAACTACAGAGAATGGCACTGAATGGACTGTTTTAAATACATTGTCAGGGCCGGCCAGCGCTTGCTCAGGAGAGTGTGGTGCTGATAACACCAAGGCCATGGGTACGGATCCTACATAGGGATGGCTGGTTCGCTCACTGGCTGAGAGTGGTGCTGACAACACCAAGCCAAGGGTTAAGATCCCCTTACTGGTCATCTTTTTTTAAAAAATAAAAAATAAATACACATTGTCTAGGGCTTGCTTGCAAGTTAGCTCAGTTGATTAGAGCACAGCCTTATAACCCCAAGGTCACAGGTTCAGATCCCCATACCAGCCAGCCACCAAAAAGTACTAATAAACAAATAAATGCACTTTGTCTGGAACATTTTAGTGATTCTTAATTTGCTGACCAGGCTTGCAAGCTCCTTAGAGGTAAAGTGACTTGTCCAGTCATCTAGAAAGATGACATTTTTGTCAGAGCCAAACATAAATATGTATTCTGGCTCAGATTTTCAACAAAAGGGATAGTATTTGTGCATATAATAGATCTCAGGGCCTACACTCTTGAAAGGAAAATAAGGGACAAATCCAACTTTAGAGGTAAACACTGGTGTCAGTGAAAACTATTTAGACACGAATAAGCAATCTGTATTAGCATCACATTCTTAGGGGTGAATATATATAATTTATACATCTAATAAATAACACTGGCTCCTGGTCCAGAAACAAGTTACAGGTCTGATAAGGGCTCAAATTAAAAGCCAGCATTCTCCTATGATGTTCATAGGGAACCAGTAGGCCAAACAAGCTGGCTTCCTAGGCCTCCAATCCCACTGCCAGCTCACCATCTTAGACTTCCCTAATGTCTTTGCAGGTCCCCTACTCTGTACAGTAACCTTTCTTATCTATGACCACAAGAATTTGACCACAGGATAGTGCTGCTGGAGACTGGAAGTGGCCAAAACTGGTGTGGTCCAGTAGCCTAAGTCACTCCTAGGTACCACTCATTACAAAAATTCACTGTGTTCACTGTTACTTATTATGTGCTACACTCACACCTACACCTGAAGTCCTTCGCTCAGTTGTGTGCTTCACTAGGCCATCCCAATCTTCTCAGAATATTCTAACTCCTCATTTCTAAGATGGCTAGCATTTAATGAGCAGTGACTATATGAAGCCCTACACTTGTCACATGTTCTCATTTGACCCTCTCTGCAGTAGCATAACATAGTGATTACAAGCAAAGCCCTGCATGGTTCTAATGGCTAGTTCAATTCCTTGAGCCACCACTTTGTAGCCATGTGCTCTTAAGAAAAGTCATTTAACCTACAGCCTTAATTTCTCCATTTGTAAAATAGGTTTAGAAATATTTAATGCATTTGGTTGCTATGAAGTTTCAATTAATAAATGAAAGGCACTTTAATAGTGCTTAGCACTAAAATAAGCATTAGCTATTATCCCCATTTTATAGATGACAAAACTGAGGCAGAGTTCCTGACATATCCAAGATCATAGAGCTAAGAGGTAGAGCCAAGAACTCAAACTCAGGAAGGCTGACTTAAGAGATAACAGTCTAAATCATTCTGTGCCAAGGTAGTTTTCAAATCAAATCCCATCTCCAGAAAATTTTCTCTTAACTACTAGGACAGCCACATCATCATATCCTCCTTCCTTACCTACCACTTATCTAGCATTGCTCATTAACTATATACTAGTTCATTAAGGTAGATCCTGCCTCCCAGACTGTAAATTCCTCAAGGTCATCCCAAGGGCTCAGCTACCTGAGCACTGCATTTCAATCTCTATAGACATATTTCAAATGATATGGAGCTAGACCTGAAATCCAGTTTTAAGAATCCCTTTTCCTGGAAAACTCTAGACTCTAACCTTTTATGACCTTTTTAAAGGTACCTATAGAATTTAGGTGAATATGAATTTTCCATATGCTATACATCTTTTCTATTACCCAAACTCCTATCACAAAGCATACTAGTCCATAAATCTAGCAAATTTATTTTCATTATGACCTCACCCATTCCATGTTACAGTCCACTTACTTGGCTTCATGGGGCTGGATTGGACAAACTGCTGGAGAACCAACAGTCTGTGCACAGACTTTGGCAGAGCTTAACTGATGGGTTTGACTAGAAAGGTAGCCCACCTGTAGAGGCTGAACTGTCAGTGATAATCCCTTTACCTACATTACAAGAAATGGGGCTCCAGTCCTACCCCAGATAGAACTTAAAAGGTCCAAACCTCAGAAGAGAGCAAGGCTGACAAGGCTAGAAGCCTCTACGTGGTCTTGTTCCAGGAATAAACCAACTAAAAAACTTCCCCAATGAAGGCCAAGTTGAAGAGTAATAGGTGCAAAAGTTGAATGATCTGAAGATACACTGAGTCCATTTTCCCGAAACATATATTAAATGTCTGTCCTTCCATTCACGCAACCGAACTTTCCCCAAGTTATAGGACACTGGAAACCTGAAATCTACTAAAAGCAAAGTATGAGGAGTGGGCTGTACAATTAACACAGGTGGCATAATTTAAAAACAAAAGAGGGGAGGGAGATTTTTAAACAGTCTACAAGAGAGAGGAAAATGACAGATGATTTAGCTTTGTAGCTCCTTCTGGCTTGAACAAAAAGAAGCCTGAGAGCCGAGGCAGCAAGAGTATCAGTACCTGAAGATGACAGGCAGTTAGAGTAATCATGTAGGCCAGGTCACTGTGAAAAGCTGGAACTGCAATAAAGAACATCAACACTGGCCCTGAGAGCATATTCTGCTGTTTTCTGCAGGAACTGTGGGATTGGGGCAGTAGCAGTGGCAGTGGCAAAACCCTCACTGGAGAGAATGAAAGATGACAGAAAGCCACATTGACAAAGAAATATTGCAAATACACAGACCACAATCATGGCCTTACTTACAATCAACCCCCAATTTCCCAGGGCAGTAGCCAAAGCTCGGCTTGTCAGATCACCCCACCAACACGCAGAAAAGTAACAAGAAACCTATCAATTGCCTCCTCCCGTTCTTCCCAGTCCTGCAAAGAAATGAAAAGGAGCAGCAAAGCACCTAAAGGTAAAGCAGTGATCAGAAAAAGAAAAGCTATGGCCCCAGTATTCCCTGAGATTATCCCAGTTAGCATCCACAAATAAGAGCTGATGGTCGTTAGACTGTATGCTTTTGCATGCTGGGCAGAGAAGAGGACACCTGGAGCAAACCACTCTGTCACAGGCAATTCCACATGAAGCCAGTGGAGGCACAGCGACCCACCTGAATTCCACCTGACTGACACATACACCTCCCCAAAGTCACCTTGCCCCAGCAGGCTCCCAAATCAAGTTTTTAAAGCTCCCTTTCCCAAAGGAGCATCAGAAAGTTTTCCTGTTATCACCCCACTCAACCAGTCTTCTTCCATTCACCGATGATTAAGCCCAAGCCTCCATCTTGTCCCTGGCTGGAATTATCATATATTTTGCTCAAGTTCTCAACCCCCAGCCCTGGAATAAAAGTATAGAAAGAATTCTCAATTCCTCACTCAATCTCAGCATCCCTTCTTGGTTATGCGTGCACCCTTCCCAGAGTCTATCAAGACGCCTTCAAATATAAATACAGCAGACATCTAAAAACCCTAACAGATGGGGATAGGGAAAGGAGTCTTGGGTTGACTTATAATGGCAGGGGTTGGCAGGACGCAGGAAGGATACTCCACGGTGAAGTTCGACAGGCGAAATACCAGGTCTATAGCCAGAGTGCCCCATACCTACTTCACATTTTCTCCGCCCCTCCTGGAGAACCACCACAGGGCAGTACCAGACACTGACATCACCTCCCACTCCACTACCGCTTCTTTCCAGGTCCTAGGCCTAATACTCACTTGAGCCCACTGCCTGAAGGATACACTAGCCTTGTAAACACAGCGGTCCATTCCCCACTTCTTGAGAATTCAAACCCCGGAATCACTCTGCTGGAGCACAGGTTGTTTCTGAACTGGGCAAAGTCAGGGGAAATGGTGAAGCATAGGTAGAGAAAAATGAGCATTATTTACTGCATTTTAGTGTGATTAAGTTGAGGGCTGAGGAAGTCTAAGCCACTAGGTTTGGACTCTACAGTCCTAAAGATGGCAGGCTAGTAGGGCGACAATGTGCTAAATCCCTCTGGGCAGCAGGACAGTCATTCTAATTCCCACATGCAAACCCCTTTCTTCACCCGCCCTGAGTTCTCTGGCTGCATTCCCATTAGCTGTCATGCCTTCCTGGATGTCACCTGGCTCCTCTGACACTGAGTGCAATCAAGACAATGACAACCAGGTTTCCAAACTGCAAATTGCCCCAAGTTTTATTTGTAGTCCATACAAAAGGGAAAAAAATTAAGGTTTTCTAACACCACCTACTTGGGGAAATGGGGAAGTGGGACTGTGCTGCTCACCATCAGCTAGAACATCAGTGGTCAGTAGGGATTTGGACACATACCAACTGACTGTCCCAACAGGAACTCAGTCTCAACACAGTCTACAGAGGGACAGTCAGGGCCCCCTGGACTGCTGGCACAGCTTGGCGCATAGGAAATGGTTAAGCTAACCCTTTCCTGGCCTCTCTCTCAGCTGAAAAGAAAAAGGCGCCGCCGACCTCAGCTGCAGGTTGCTTCCCCATCCAGACCTTAAATACCGCGCACAAAAATAAAAGGGAGCCAGGAAAAAGTAAAAACATAAAAGAAATTCCCATTCTGTGGAGATGGGAGGCAGGGTAGAGGGGAAACCGCAGACCTAGAGCCAGTAGCAAGATTTGCTGCTGAGGCGAAGGAATAAAGCAGGTTACTGCCCAACACTCAAAAGGACCATCTCCTGGGGTAGGCCCACATGGTAGAGGGGATGAAAAACCGCAACTGGGAGAGGTATGGGCCAGAGCAGTTATAACCTGGGTCTCCTCTCCCTCCCTCCCTGTGGTGCCCCATCCCCAGAATGGCCCTACATGCGGCGCTGGTAGCCAGAGTGCATCTGAGCTGCCCGCAGGTAATCATTATAGGAGCCCGAATAGCGTGCGTAATCGGAATGGGCATCGGGCAGGCGACGGTAATCCAGCGAGGACTTTGTCGGCGAGCGGCGGAACGAAAGCTGCGACTCTGATAAACGGCGGTAATCAGAGAGCTCGGCTAAACGCCGGTCGGAACCATACCTAGTCGAGAGAAGAAGACAGTTGGTGAATGAGACAATTGAGGGGAGGGCTCCGGGTGGGCATGGGGGAGATGCCAATGGGGACAAGGGAGGGTGTGATCAGATTGGTCTCCAACAGATTGGTCTCCTTTTGTCAGAAGGCTCATCACTCTATCCAGGACAAGAAATCAAGCCTGGGTTCAACTCAGTGGGGAGCCAAGTCCTCCACTGAAGCCCTCCCTTCCGAACTGGCCAAGGTGAATTTTGGTCTACATTCACAGACCACAAACAATCCCCATCCCTGGGCCCTTCACAGAAAGACTTTGGTTGTTTATCAACAGAACGGCGGATAAAAGCAAGGTCCCCAACCTCCCACAGAGTGGACGCACCTCATAAACTTGCCTTCAGCCAGTGAGTGCCAAAGGGACTATTCTCTCACACCCACCCCTACCAAAGCCAGGACAACCACATAACAGGATCCTTGAGACAGTGGGAAAGGCTATGGGCCACAATCCTGCAGACAGTAGCTCCAATAGCACTTGGGTTAGCCTAGACAGGTGACACTTTTCTCAGCCTGACTAGCTGGTACCACATCAGGCTGGCTGAGCACTATGCTCCACCTGAACCCTGGTGACCAGAAAAGTTCACAGACACCATTCCCCTCAGCCTCTGGACATCCCATGGGGGTAAAGGAGAGAAGACTGAAGGAGGGGCCAATGGCTCGTTTCCCTCCCATGCCAACCTCAGCCCCTTGCCCTAAGCCCCAGCTGGGGGCAGAGGCGGGGGGGGCATACAATACCTTTTCGACATGGCGACAGCCTTTTTGTAGGGATCGTCGTAGCTGGCCCGGGGTGGGGAGAGGCGGGTACGCTCATAGGGCGGCGGGGTGCTGTTGGCGTTGGCAACGGCCCCCTGGGACATGGACAGGTAGGCTGCAGACGGCTGACCTGCCCCGTCGTAGGCATTGCCCGGCTGGCCACGGTAGGAGGCAGCAGCCTGTGGATGCTGCTGGGCAGCATAGGAAGCAGCCAGTGAGGCTGATGACTGAGTGCGGTAAGGAGCTGCCAGGGTGGCAGAAGGCTGGGCCCCGTAGGCAGCCGCGGCACCATAGGAGCCAGTGGCCGCAGCAGCCGACTGAGCCCCATAGGAGCCTGACAGGCCCATTGATGCTTGAGCCCCATAACTATTCAGCTGGGTCTGGACAACTGGCTGGGCCCCATAGGAGCCAGCCATTGGGGTAGTGGCTTGTGCCGCATAGGCGGCTGGCTGGCTGGCATAGGCAGCAGCTGTGGCTGGTTGTGCCACATAAGCAGCAGGCTGGGAAGAGTAGGGAGCAGCCTGTTGTGCAGCATATGGGGCAGACTGGGCATTGTAAGAGGCTGAGGGCTGGGCATTGTAAGAAGCTGCCTGGGCTCCATAAGCTAGAGAGGAGGCTGCAGACTGGGCCCCATAGGAGGCTGCCTGAGCTCCATAGGAGCCTAAGGAGGAAGCTGCTCCCTGGGTGTTGTAGGAGGAAGCAGCTGCACGAACCCCATACGAAGAGGCAGCCTGGGCGCCATAAGAGGATGGCTGGTTACCATAGGAGGCAAGGGAGGAGCCCTGAGCCCCATAGGAGTTGAGTGAAGAAGCCGCAGCTGCCTGACCCCCATAGGAGGAGAGGGCCGAGGCCGTGGGCTGGGCTCCACCATATGGGCCGAGTGAGGAAGCTGCGGCAGACTGGGAACTAGGGCTAGCCAGCTGGCCCCTGTAAGGGGCCCCAAGGGAGACAGAGGGCTGAGCGCGGTAAGAGGCTGCCTGGGCTGTCATGGGCTGAGTCCGATAGCCAACACCCAAAGAGGCAGAAGGCTGGGCTCTGTAGGCAGCTCCCAGAGACACTGAGGGCTGGGCCCGGTAGGTGGCTGGCTGGGCCGTCAGAGGAGCCACATAGGAGGCTCGGGGAGGTGAACGGCGCAGGGGGCTGCGGTCGCGACCAAAGAAGGGTGGTGTGGGCTGACGGGCTTGCCCATCAAAGCCACCAGTGCTGTTGCCAAAAGCCTGCTGGTAGTCGAAGGTGGCAGAAAAGCCACCAGTTCCAGGGAATGCCGTATCCCCAGCCCCTGGTTTCTTGGTCTTGTCCCCAGACTGGATAGCCAGGCCAGGCCCCTTCTTCTGACCCTTGGTTGAGAGTTCCACGTTGATGCGCTTGCCCTTCACTTCTTTGCCGTTGAGCTGCGCGATGGCGGCTTTGGCATCTGCTTCCTTCTCCATGTGAACAAACGCGTAGTCTGATAAAGCAGCAGACAGAGGGTTAGCAATTAGGGGGGCAGGGCATGCTACCCGATGGGTCCCAAACTGGACACACAACAGCACCCAGCTGTTGCCATTTACCTCCAGGCCTCCAAACCCTCCTCTCCAGGAGTATGTCATAAAATGTGGCTCCCATATAAAAAAGCTTCTCACTATCCCAAGAAGTCACCTTCGCCTATGGCCTTCTCCCCATTCTCCCCTTTCCCCCTGCCACCTCACCCAACTTCCTGGTGAGAGAATAAAGAGCAAAGATGAACTGCAACACAGGATGAAAATCTTCACAGCACCTGTAAGTATAAACCAGCAGACAAAACGCAGAAAGAGTTCCTGGATCACTCAATTATTCAGTGTCCTCACATTTAGGGCTTAGCTCTCAAGCACTGGAAATATCACTCCCACCTACATTTTGGCATGACCCATCTCTAAGCTTAAGCCCAATTAAGGCAAGAGAGTTAAGACTGCAACAAGCAAAAAGTTCACAAAATTCCTCCAATATAATCTCCCCCCTTTTCACAGTTACTTCTACTTTTCAAAGCACTTTCATGCACAGGACCTCACATGGGCCTCACAACAATCCTATGAGTTAGGCAGAGCAAAGGATCCTTATCTCCATTTTATAGGTGGGCAAAACATGCTCAGAGTTTGTATATGGCTTGCTCCAAATCAAAGTGTGTTACAGCGAGGACCAGAATCTCAGCTCTTCCATGCTCCTTGCTATACCAGTCTACTCCTGAGAAGTCAATGTATAAGGCAGGAAAGACTGTGTAACATGACTAAAAATTTAAGCTTAGAAGGGGAGAACCTGGACTCTGTGTAAGCCAATGAGTTGTGGAAACAGAAAGTAAGCCTCCTGGTTGAGTTCAAGCCCAAGCCCCCTTCCCCAGACCACATTACATCCTCCATCATTTCCTCTTTAAGGGACAGAGGTATAGCTTACCCCTTAGGCTTTTGTTCATAGAGCAGACTGTTGACAGAAAGATCTGGTTTCTCAGTTATAGTAAGAAGCTGCAATTACTGCCGTTAGCTGGCTCTGCTAAGTAGGTTACCTCTGAAGCTCTTATTCAAGATCTGAATAAGCTGTGGTGGGAGAGGATCTAAGACAGGATATTGCTCTCAAAGTTCTACTCATCTACCACAGAGGAGATATGTGGGGGGAGGAATGGGAAGAAATTCTTGTTCACGTCCATACTTACAAACCACGATGCAAGAAAGATCTGAAAAACAGTGATAGGATCCTGCCCCTGGGAAATAAGGTCCTGCACTTAACCCCATTCTGGACTTGTGGCTACTTTAAGATGGAATCCAAGTGCCAGGATCTGGTCTCTGTCACATCAGTTTTATAAATGAAGAGCTACCTGGATGGAATTACTAAGATTCCATTCTCCATGATAACAAATCCTTTCAATGGCCTCCAAACAAATGTCCTAATTTTTAGAAACTTTCATACTGAGATGTCCTCTACCTGATCCTACAGAACAAGTCATTTTTCTAGATTTGAGGATAATGTCACCAACCTCATAATAACAGGAATAAACATACAATCAATAGGTAGAAGTCAGAAGTGTGGTGTAGCACACAGGGATCCTGGGCTAGGAACTAATTCTAGATCTAGGTATCACTGACTTGTGATAAGATCTTCAAGAACTTAAGTTTATTTCCCCATCTGACAAATCTATCCTACCTACCTCAAAGTTAGGAGGTTCAAGTGAGAAAACAAAAGTGCCTTGTAAGGTATAAAGAGCTATAAGATAATAAGGAATAATGATGTTTATTCAAACTAGGAATAACCAGAATATTTCCCTACAGAATATTACCTTTCATCTCTACAAAAACACAATGCCATCTGTACATGCAAACTTGGAACCTGCCAGAGATGATATAAGAACACAATAAACTATCAAAACTCTCACTCCTCAACACCCACAAAGCCAGAGCCTGATTCTATATCTATTCACTGTGAAAAGCTAAGCGTTCCTTTCTCCTTTTGGCCTAATCATGGGGCACTAGAACTGTCCTCTGATTTCCCATCTGAGCAGAGTGAGCAAAACACAGCAGCTGGTGGTCTAAGATCTCTTTAAAAGCAGAGGCTGAGGGCCAGCCCAGTGGCAAACTGCTACAGTACGCCGCTTGGGAGCGTGGCGGCGCTCCTGCCGAGGGTTCGGATCCCACATACAGACCGGCCGCTCACTGGCTGAGCAAGGTGTGGGCGCAACACCGAGGGTTGCGATCCCATTGCCGGTCCCGGTCAGGTACGGGTGCAACACTGAGGGTTGCGATCCGTTGCCGGTCACGAAAAAAGACAAAAA